AACAGAGGAGGAGGTTGGGTTGGGTTGCAGAAGCCATGGAAATTCAGAGAGAGAGAAAGTGGTGAAGTGGGTTTTTGTGGGTTTTTCAATTTGTATCCGAAATGATCTTATGAAAATCAATCTAAGGTAGATTTGGGGTTTACATTGGAGGCAATGGGGCCAAGGGTCACATGTGAGAGTGAGCTGAAACGAGCAGAATTGGGTTACAGCTGGGCTTCATCAATGTACCGGTTATAGCGTGTCTGGGTTTTCGTGTTTTATCGGTGGGGTAGGTTTGGGTGTGGCAGGGTGTAGGGGTAGGGAGATTGAAGTTGGCGTGGGATTTGAGGGATATGGAACTTGGGCGGTCTACACGGAGTTGTGTAGTATGATTCGTCAGGTGTTTTGTTTGAAACTGAGGCGCGGGATATTATAGTGTTTGGGGTGTATAAGACAGGTTCGGAATACGACATTAAAATTTGGTGTTTATTGTACGCGGCTGGTCGGTATATGTTGTCGTCGATCAGTTTATTTTATTTTATTTTGTTTATTTATTTGTATTATTGTTTAACCAATTAAACTTTTAAGAAAAAAGTTGGTGCTAAATTCATTAATATAAAAAGAAAACAATTTCCCTATTCCTTTGAAATAAAACAAATTGACTTAAGATTAGAAGAGAAAGTTGTATATAATTGGAAGCTTGATCATCTTTATTAGGAGAAGAACATAGCTTAGCTAAGCTTCTCCTTTGATTTGGGTTGCACTTGGTTCAACTTCCTCCCTCCTAGTCCTAGCCTTGTTAGGGTGTTTAGGTCAAGCCATTTGGGCTAGTTTATCTTCTCTTGTTTTGGTTTGGGCTTTTGAGCCCCAATTTCAATTTCCCCAAAAGAAAGTTGTATAGAATTGTGATAATTACATTTCAATTTCCCCAAAAGAAAGTTGTATAGAATTGTGATAACGCCTTTTTTTTTGCACAAGCGATATTAGGGGAGGGGGATCTGAACACAAGATCTCGGGTGCAATAATATCTAGGGAGTTTCACTAAAACACCCAAAATGGGGGTTGAAATTATAAAAAAACCCAAGCACTATTTAAATATATAAACACACCCAAAACCCATCATTACACACACTCAAAACCCATTTATAAACACACCCAAAAAGTTGACTTTGGGGTTGATTTTGAGTGTGTTTCTATGTTTAAATAGTGCTTGAGTTTTTTTATAAATACATGTCTAGGATTGGGTTTATTTATAAATTTGTATAATATCTACTCTTAAACCGCTTAAGCTACAAGCCCCTTGTAGACCAAATGGTATGAAAACATGAAAAGATACAATGTAAAATCCATTTATGGGCTTCTGCAACAAAAAATAAATAAATCCCATTCATGGGCTTGGGCTGAGTTTGTGCTATACTATTTCTGGCCTCTGCCCAACAACATTGAGCAGTTATTAGAGGGGGATTGCTACAGATTGGCCCAGGCTCCTTTGCAACTAGTGGCCTATAAATATATGAGCAGTGGGCTTTATAACCCAATAAAATATTGAGCCATATAATTTGCAAATATAACTGAATTTTGTGTAAATTATAATGGAGTCGCTGTGCCTTACTTTATCTTTCTAATTTTGTTTTTGGTATGATATATATGTCTTTATATAGAATTGTTTAGTGCTTCATGCTTATCAGCACCATGACTGTGAAGATGAAGACAGGTCCTGTAGCCAAAGTGCCCATAGATAGACACCATTATAGCTCCAGATTAGCATGATTTGATTTGAACTCAGAAGTGGTCCATCCTATCTCATTGTTTTTATTATCACGGATTGCCTCACACTCCTCTCTTCTGTGCAAGAAACAAAGATAGCAGAAACTCGAAACAACCAACAACAACACACATGCGCTGCCCTAGTCTCAAACAGATGAGAGAGTAAGTATTAACAAGGGCAATGTTACTCGAGCACTTCCCTTTTCTCATTATGCATTATTTCCGCATGCCCGTTTAGTAATGCTTTTATAGGAAACACTTATTCTCGTAAGTGTTTTTCTTAGAAGCGTTTTTATTAAGAAGGACAACGTTATTCGAGCACTTTCATTTTCTCATTTTGCATTCTTTCCACATGCCCATTTATGATTGCTTTTGTAGGAAATACTTGTGCTCGTAAGTGTCTTTCTTAAAAACGTTTTTATTAAGAGATAGAGCGTCAAAATTGTTTTGGTAAAAATCCAAATGATTCTTGAAAAATGTACTTTTATGACCAATAAGGATTTTATACCAAGCGGAGTTTGAACATCAAATCAAGAACTTCCCCATTAGTAATCCATAATGGATGCAATTGCAAGCTATTTAGGATAATTAAGACAAGGCTGGTGCATGGAGATTAAAGCCAGTTACTCTAGGCTGTGCCTAGCTATCAATCCCAAAGCAATGGGAGAATTAAAACCATGACCTGAAAAGTTTTAACGTGCTATACAAAGTTGGCTCCGCCAATTCACCAAAAGTGCATTAAAAAAAGCAACTGTTGATTTTTGTACTTTCTACAAGTTGAATTTTGATTTTGAGGGCCTTGTAGGCACCGTCACAAAGATTCCTCACTGACTAATTTCAACAAATACGGTCCGAAAAGCACTTGTGTTGCTTTCAATTATCATCAATAGGTAAGAAAAAGGTTTCTTGAGCAATAATGTTAATATGAGAACTTCAAGCAAGACAATCTGAGAGGAAGCAAATTCAACAGTAGCTGTTGGCCTGTGCAATTGAGGTGCAAAGTAAAACTTTTTTCTTAAATGCTTTTAGGCTTAAGAATATCATAGAGAGACAGAGAGAGTGATAGCTTGTACTGAAAATTGGGACCACTTTCTGAGCAATTTTATTATCTGTTCAAGATTCTTTTCTGTTGATAACAATTGCTTTCTCTTTCTCACTCTCCAATCTTTTTTTTTTCATAACCTATACACCAACTCTCTGAAGCAGAGGAGGCAAGGTTAAAATCTTAACATCTGTTTTACAGAAGAGAGTATATGCATGCATGCATCAGAACAACCCAAAAAAACCCAACAAGAAGAGAAAAGAAAAAAATAAGAAAGAAAAAAGCATGAGTAATTCTGATATGGCAGGAAATTGGAAAAAGAAAAAAGTACCCAGAAAACCCAACAAAAAAGATGATGTGATGTGGTAGAAAATTGCAGTATTGATTGAATGGTTTCTGTTCTGATCATGGAATGCAAAATTCCCTTTCCAACTTTTGTCTGTCTCGCACTGTGCTCAGTTTTTCAAGCCAGCAATCTCCATCTGCTTTTATGTCACATCAGATTTACTAATCTTAATTAGTTACCATGTCCATGGAAACTGCAAGGGGTTTGGTCAGTATAAAGTTTGTTGCTATTAGTTAGCAAGGAAGAAGACATTTAATATTTCTTACCAGTTGGTGAGTTGTTTCAGGGGCTAAGGTGTGAGCAACAACCATCACCGTCAGTTCCTAATCCACCTTAGGAAGTGTGCCAAGACCAAACGGCAGCAGTGCACAACAGGATCAGGATACCTCAAATTACAATTCCACCCCCAAGGTGGAAGAATACCGCACAAGTAGGCCCCAACCCCACTTCACCCAAAAAAACTTTCTTATCCCGGTTTCATTGGCACCTTCCTCCTATTTCTCTCGACATGTCACTTGTTACAAAAGAAGAGATATAGGACTTCAGACCAAAAACAAAAAGAAGAGATATAGGACTTCATCTATCGGTTTAAAAAAAGAAAGAGATAAAAAGAACGAGGAAGTATTTCTCCACTTCAACCACCAGAATATGTCAACGCCGGTGACTTATTCCGGTGACAGGCACATTCAATTGGGTATTAATATTTTAAAGCTGGTATAGCTAAACTCTGGGAGGCTGAGGGGTCATGTTATTTTATTTTCTGACACATTTCATGTGACTGTGGGTACCTAATTCATCTTTTTGTGTTCATAAAGTAAATATTTTCTAGGCAAAGCAATGACCTTTCAGTCAAAGAGGTCATATAGTTCATGCACCTTCATTCAATTAGTGCTCTACCCTTAATCTGATATACTCTTGCATCTTTGACCATTTGTTTGATCAGACCAAATGATCGGATGGTTGATGTGAATACTTCACTGAGATAGCCCTACATGATGGGCGGTCTCTATCATATACATTAATGCATTCATAAATGAGTTTTCTTGAGATTTTTCTATAGGTTTCCATTGATATATATATATACACACAGAGAGCTTCCATTGAGGGATCCCTCAAATAAGCTTATTTGAGGGACACCCCTTGTAGGGCCACTATGGATTGTATTTCACTAATCCAAACCATCTATTTTGTAGATACTCATTCAAAGATTATCTCTATAAAAAATCACTTGAATCCGATATCATTTGACTACTCAATTGAGTTATTAAAATTTTAGTACTTTCTTGAAGCACCGTGTTCATTGATTTTGTAAGACACAATTGGATGTCGAAACGATTTCCGATTTGTCTAATTTTTTGTAAGGATGATCTATGAATGAAGACCTAAAAAATAGATGGTTTGGATCACTGGAAAAAAAATTGTAGGGTACCCTAAAGGGCGTCCCTCAAATAAAATTATTTGAGGGATCCCTCAATAGAAGGAGACTGTATATATATATATGTATATAAAAGTCACTCAAATATTCACAACTTGCTATATAAAGTCCTTCCCACTTACAAGTTAAGCCTGCTGGATTCTGTAATTGGGTTTTTCTCAGTATTTAAAATCGTTCTCAACTTTCCTTCACTATTTTATTCACTTGCTTTCAACTTTCCTCCATCTCCTTATCCCTGTCACTGCACAACACATCTCATATATACAACCCTAAAGTCCCTCCTCTCTCCTCAGCTCCCCCATACCTCTGTTTTCTCTGTTTCTCAACACATTATTTCCAGTCTGTGTTCTGCACCCACTTCCCCATCTTTCAATAGAACTGTGTGTGTTTGTGTGTGTGAGTGGGTGGTTTAAGAAAAAGTCTGGTTGGCCATGGATGTTGACATGCTAAAATCATCATCATCATCATCATCAGCAGGTGATGATCATCATCACCATCATCACATGGACATGATGACAATGATGATGCAAATGCAAATGCAAAAGCAGCAGTCTCCTGATCACTTCTGTGATTCTTACCACAACAGCAGCAACCCCACATTTCCAGAGATAGATTTCACCTGGGGATCAAACTCAAACATCACCAACAACATTGAAACAATCTCATCTCTCCCCATTTTCCACAACCCAAATGCAGTTTCTTCGCAACATTCACAGCCCACGTTGATAAACCCTGCCTTGCCCTCCTCTGTTTCTTTCATGGGAAACCAAATTCAGGAGCCCCTCACCCCAAGGCTCATCAAAACTAGCCCTCCTCCTACTTCATACGAGAAGAGAAACTCCATGGCTGCAATGAGAGAGATGATTTTCAGAATTGCAGCAATGCAGCCCATTCAAATAGACCCCGAATCGGTGAAGCCCCCGAAGAGGAGGAATGTTAAGATTTCTAAAGATCCACAGAGCGTGGCAGCGAGGCACAGGAGGGAGAGGATAAGCGAGAAGATTAGAATTCTGCAGAGACTTGTTCCTGGCGGGACTAAAATGGACACAGCTTCTATGCTAGATGAAGCTATACATTATGTGAAGTTTTTGAAGAAACAAGTGCAGACTTTGGAGAGAGCTGGGGCAGATAGACCGATTGGTATTGGCTTCCAAGGGGCTGGTCAACTGGGCAATGTGAACTATTCTGCTTTGTTGAGGCCTTCTCACTTGGTTGGGTCTATGCAGATGCTGAGATGATGAGAGATTTGCTTTGAAATATCATGTATTGTTGTACGTTTGATCGATTGTTCTGAGGGGCATGTAAAGAAGTTGTTAATCTGTACTTGTTACTTGTTGATTCTTAATGTTATTTTGAAGAAAATTTATGATGTATGCATGCTTTCAGAAATTGCATCAAGTCATGTATTGGAAAATAGTATATCCATGCAAACACTATTTACATTGCCCAAATATCCCAACCAACTTCAAGTGCAAAAATATTTGTTAAAAAAAAAAAAACTACTGGATCTACAGCAATTAATGATATAGGCCTTTCACCATGGTTCATGGGCACAAGAGATCCACCAGTGGTTCGGCTTGAGTACTGTAGATAGTTCAGTTTGGAAGGACAAATTGATCCATGGATGTGGAAAATGGACATGAAGAATGTTATAGGCAGTGTCATTATAAATTGCATGATCATGAAGATGGCATTGGCTCGATACAAGCTACAATAATCTACAAGTTAGAACTTGGTGATTCACTACTAATTGCACCGATGTCATTTGAGGTAAAATCCTACACCTAAATGGGTTCACACCTACTACGGATAATAGGGCTCATGCTTAGTTTAACAAGCTTTGCATCTGTTTGTACTATATGTTTGTGAAGCTAAAATGGTAATTTACAGAGAGCTTCAACCCTCCCATATAAACATTGCATGATCATGAAGACGCCATTGGGGACTACATATACTTAACAGTACATAGAGGACCATGTAGTGAGATGTTATCCCCAACTAAAGGTGAACAAGAAAATGGAACTTCAACTTTCCCGTAGAGTCTCATTCACCACCCACAACGTAAAATGTTGAAAAAGGATAGAGAACTCTCTTCCCTCTTAATTAAGGGACCATCTTTCTCTCTTATGGTATTGTTACACCATAACTTTTCCAAGTCAGGCCGTCGTGCAAGTTGCCATGCATGGGTGGGTGGATCATCCGCACCACCAACATCACTCGCACGTCCGCATTCACACCAAGAAAGACGCCAAGTTGCATCATTTTCTCGGCCAATGAAATATTGTATTTGTATTATCGTTATTTATATAGAAAGAGGCCGGGAATACTTTGGGTCAACGAGTACTTGTGATTATCTCGTAATCAATTCTATACTTAACACAGTGTAACGTGAACGTAGCCCAATTAAGAGTGCCCCATATAAGTTCCTAGATAGTTAGGCTTTCGTTTTGAAGGAATGCCTTATTGGCAGCAACTTTTTTATTGTTATCCTTCATGAAGAAAATATCTTTTACCAAAGAAGAAGGTAGCAATGAATATATAGCTAGTGGTTTCTCCTAGCATCATTGTTTTCTGCCATTAGTTTAAAATCTGAGAGTGGTTGATGGCTTCTTTTTTTTTTGGTGGGGTTCCAATAATAAACGGAATGTAAAACAAGGGTAATGGCCTTTTTTTATAAAAAGAAAAAAGAAAAAAGAAAAGAAAAGGTGGTTTCTAGCTTAGCTCCTGCAATGGAGGTGTGGGTGGTAGGTTGCCTCCCAGGGCAGGGTCGAATAATGGAAGTGTTTATGTCTCTAGGATCATGCCTCACAACAAACAGCCGTTTATCTCCTCTGGCATAAATAATAATAATAAAAAATTGCATTAAAAGAAGGAAAACAAAGAAAAAAATAATGGTCAAACCGCATCTATATGCATCAAATAGACCCATGTGAGATACCTTACTAAGTTTCCAACATCCAAAAGAAGCTTTCATTATTAGAGAGGGCATAGCACCAAGTCCCCTTTTTTCATAAATCCATGAAATGAGTCGATTCTTTCAGCCCCGCAACAAGTGCATTGTATTTGCACCATCCTTCTGACACATTCTTCTATCATAATTTCATTGTCCATCTTCCTATCAACTCCTTTTTCATATTCTATTATTGATCGGATTAATTTTCATATTTCTCGTAAACTCATATTATATTCGTGTTTAAATTTTATGAGCTACACTAATAACAACAAAGTCGTGTATTTATTGATCCAAAAATGTTAGTATTAGCAACAATCACCTTTAGCTGCTTCATATAAGCAAATCTTCGATTGTCAAACAGTTTGAAATCTGTGATTTAGAGCATCAATAAAAGAACGGTTGAGCAATTGGAGGTGCACTAAATTAAGATGGGAAGAAGCCACTATAAATGAAGATAAGGTGGTGCGACCGTGTGAGCAACAAAGGAATTTTTTTGGATCGGAAAGTTATAATTTTTATATATATCTATATAGCATATGTATGAATGCAGACGATAACATGGTTGGTTGGTTGGTTGGATTAGATTTTGGCAGAGGAGTAGCCAATTTAAAGGGGGGCAGGTGGAGCACGCGTATCTAATATCTTTGAACCAAATTCTCTCTTCCTCTCTTATGTTGGAAGATGACAATTCATTCCCATGTCCCTTATGCAAGGTGAGATGTATTGAGATGATATACACACAGTAGATCTCCTACAAATCTAAGGGAGAAAAAGAAAAAAAATATTTCATAGGTAAAAAAATAATTGAGTTTCAACTCTTTGTTTCGTTCTTGTTGGTAATACTTTTTGCTAATATGTAACCAAAAAACTTACAATGCAGTAGAATTTTGTGTACCAAGACTTAGAGATCCGACTTCTCGAAAGCATATGTAACTATTTTTTTTCCAACTCAGTTGAAAAACTTGCAATTGCAATTAAACTCCTAAAACTCTTTATGCTCTGATTCATAGTGTAGTGATATTTTGTCTTCCCACCGTTGAAAGAGTAACAAATTCGAATCATAATCTTCAATTGATAAAAAGATAAAGACTCCCTAAGCCCTCTAAACCTTATTAAACTTGGTGAAGTTTTATTTTGTGCTTAAAGATTTATGGCCTCTACAAGGGGCTTATAGCTCATCAAGTGATTAGAATAGCTACACATGTATTCGAGATTCTGTGTTTGAATATCGCTTGTTTTTTATGGGCTTCTTGAGTTAAATTGGCTTTGAGTTAAGCAGCTAGAGAAAATGCCAAAGGCGTACATAGGTTGAGGCCAGAAAGTCGGGCATTGAGGGTAGCTTAAGGAATTGAAGAAGCCGAATATTATTTTCTCCATTGTGCAACAACAAAGAACTCTATGATGGGTTAACAAGATCTAGTCTAGTGGAAAAAGACATTGACTTGCAGACCAGTAGTCTTAGATTCGAACTCCTATGACATTTTGTTAGTGTGTGTGTGTGTGTGTGAGAACTCCCCCCTCACCCGTGCCTGCGCTCCCTTGTAGATACTGCTTTAAACTTATTTAAATTATTTATTTATTTAAAAAAAAAAAAAACCTATGATGGGCCGTCATGAAATGCCACAGTACTACCAATGGAGAGTTGAATTTCAAAAATCTGTATTTGGACCCCTAAAAAGCTCAAATGAACCCACCTACAGTTGGACATTGCTTAATGGGCTGAGACTTTTTGGTTGAAGGGCCTTCTTTAAGAAAATCATGTGGCACACAAAATTGTCCATGCCTTGATCACAAACCAATCTTGGTTCCTTTAGACCGGCAAGCTTATGATTTTTACTCTAAGAGCACTTCCACCTATTTGCCATGACAAAGGGCAAGGGCAAGACAAGGATTGTTACTATTCATCTGAATAGTGGCAGCCATTGCAAAAGGTTGTGGTGTTTCCACCCACTGTCATGGCAACCACTATTCACATGAGATATGAGGAGAGAAATTTGTATATAGTTTTAGTGTAGGAAGTGAAGAATATGACTAAATATTTATTTTTTTAAAATTCTAAATTTTTTGGTATTTTTTTTTAAAATTTTTTTGGTTGCTGGTGTCAGCAAACCCATACTAGAGCACGGGCTCATTTTTCCTGAGAGTTGGCCTAGTTTCGTGGGCCCCAGTAGTTGCCTTGACAGCTTCAGCCCGCTGGAAGATGAATTTGGGGCTTGGGCCCCCTCCTGCTAACAAAGACAACCCACTGGAACTGCTCTAATTAAAGACATCATGATCTTCATTTGAGACAAAAAGGATGTGTTTAATCTCATAAGATTAGTCACATGACACGTGAGGAGTTGAAGGTTGGTGAAATAATATAAGAGGTCAATTGCATGCACCAAATATATAATATAAAGAAATTAAAAAAGGTCTTATCGCAAACTCATTTGCTATTAAAACAAAATAATTTGCATGCTTATCAGGAACATAATCCTCTACTCTGTCTGAATAATCTCCATTTCATTTTCTCTGAAAAGATTTTTCTAACTCTTAATATCTTGTTGGTGGGTCTTTTGTCCATATCTTAGGATGCATACTTGGTGAAAAACGAAACACTTTTGGTAAATGACAACGACAGACAGGCCAACCAAAGTTTTGGGTGCTCCTTGAATATTTTTTATTTTTACGCAAAAGATTTATGCGTAAATTTAGTAAGGGAATTAGGATGAGCCTGTAGTGCCTAATTTTATTGACCCAGTCGTCCATGAGAAAAATGAGAATGAAATAACACGTTTTAGGTTTAAATCAAAATTCAAACCCTAGCTTGCGAAGAACGTATTCCACATTATATATGAACATTTCTTGTGAAGAACGTGTCAAAGATGGTCTAACAAAAGACTTATTATTATCTATTTCAATTTCTGTTCATAGCAGCCACCATAACCCTAGCTTATCTATATATAGACTACTTCTATCGTGGGATTCAGAGCGCAGAAAATAAACATTATTGGGAACTCAACCACTAAGAAGTCTTAGATTAATTATATTATTCTCTCATGGCTTGCGACAAGAGTTTCTCTAGCAATTACTTGCTGTTGGAACCCAAGGATGTGGGTTTCTTTGATCTGATTCACATCTTGTTCTCCAATAACTTGGAGAGGAGAAGGTTCGTTGACTCTTTTGAGCAGACCGAGGATGAGTTTGCGCGCAGATGGCTCATATTTCTCTCCGTTGTTGTGCAAAAGTTGCTGCAGTTGGTGGCAAAGCCAATGGCAATTATTGGCTGGGGGATTGAAACATGCTTGAACCTCTTTTCAAGTAACCGCAACTTGGTTGGCCTCCTGCTGGATCTCTTTC